ATCTATGCATGCAATAAAATATTTCCCTCCTGTGTAATATATATCTATGTGAAGAATCTTTCCTGGTGCTTTAGGGATAGGCATTACTCCTATAGGGTGCAGTATCGGTCTGCGTTTGTATTTATTTTCCCTGCAAATTTTGAAATTTTCGGCAAATGTTTTAACCATTTTTTTCATGTCTGGGAAATAATACTCGGCCAATATTTGTTTACAATTTTCATTGCTTTCCCTATGTGCTCTATTGTGCTCGTTGGCAATTATTTCTAACTGGTCATTTTTATTGAAAGTATCCTGCACGAGTTTGCTAGTGTACCTCATTTTTACTCCTGGAAATGCGTTTACCAGATCGTTTTGAATCATTCCTAAAGTTTCTAAACTGCAATGAATGCCATTCACAACTGCCGCGTTTAATGTGTCTTTCAAAGTGCATATCAAATTTGGGATGGATGAAAACTCCACCATGTGTCAGATTTGTTTTTGAAATAATGCTTTCATTTGCTTACGATCCGAGTTAAGTGAATGTTGAATGAAGATTTGGTTCTTAAAGCAGTTTATAGGATTTGGTACAGAGGGAATAATATTTATGGATGACTGTTCGCTATGAACAGTAGTTGCGTGTATATGTTGACGTGACAGCGCGTCAGCAACTTTGTTTTCTAATTCTGGCTTATAATAGAATTTCCGAGAATATTCTTCAATAAAACTCCTCCATCTTTTAAGTTTTGTATTTGGGTTTTTTTCGGACATCGCGAAAATTAACGGCTGATGGTCCGTATAAATATGAATATTCGGAGCCCCATATAAATAGTTTCTTAGGCTTTGCAAAGCCCAAACTATTGCTAGCATTTCTCGCTCATTTGTTGCATAGTTTTGTTCGGTTTTACTTAAAGTTCGTGAAACCATCGTTATTGGCCGTCCCTTTTGCGATAAAACGGCTCCGATTGCATCAGCAGATGCATCCGTTGTTAACTCAAAGGGTTTCCTAAAATCGGGATATAAAAGTAACACGTCTTCTGAGGCTAATATAGATTCAATTCTATTAAATGCACCTATCGCTTCAGCGTTTAGCTGAAGTTTTATATACTTAGACTTTCTGGCTGATACGTGCCCGTTTTCGCCACTAAGATATCTTGTTAGAGGTTTGGCAATTGCCGCATAACCTTTTACAAATCTCCTGTAATACCCCGCCAGTCCTAGAAAAGACCTAAGACTAAGAAGAGATTTTGGTATTTCATAGTTAACTATATCTTTAATTTTGTTAGGACATGTCTTAATTCCATCACTGGATACCCTAAAGCCTAGAAATTCTAGTTCGGTGTGAAAAAATTTTGACTTTTCAGGTGCTACTCGCATATTTGCTTGCAAGAGTTTTGTCAGTATTCTCTTTACATCTGTTGTATGCTCTTCTGTTGACTTGGAAAAGATTATTACGTCATCTATGTACACATGACAACACTTTCCTATTTCCTCTCGCAGCACGTCATCTATCGCTCTTTGAAATATGCTTGGTCCATTTTTCAGGCCAAACGGCAATCTTCGAAACTCATACTTGCCGTTATTGACTGAAAATGCAGTATTTTCCCTGTCAGATTCTTCTAACAATATTTGGTGAAATCCTGCTTTCAAGTCAACTGTAGTATAATATTTGGCTTGCCCCAAGTTAGATAAGATCATCGAAATGTCAGGTATTGGGTAGCGATCGGCCACCGTTTTTTCATTCAACTTTCGATAATCAAAAATAAATCTGTATTTCAGAGCCTCATCCTTCTTTTCACTCTTCTTTGAAACCACCAATACTGGAGCATTATAGGGAGATCGCGACGGCTGAATTATACCGTNTCGCTTCAGCGTTTAGCTGAAGTTTTATATACTTAGACTCTCTGGCTGATACGTGCCCGTTTTCGCCACTAAGATATCTTGTAAGAGGTTTGGCAATTGCCGCATAACCTTTTACAAATCTCCTGTAATACCCCGCCAGTCCTAGAAAAGACCTAAGACTAAGAAGAGATTTTGGTATTTCATAGTTAACTATATCTTTAATTTTGTTAGGACATGTCTTAATTCCATCACTGGATACCCTAAAGCCTAGAAATTCTAGTTCGGTGTGAAAAAATTTTGACTTTTCAGGTGCTACTCGCATATTTGCTTGCAAGAGTTTTGTCAGTATTCTCTTTACATCTGTTGTATGCTCTTCTGTTGACTTGGAAAAGATTATTACGTCATCTATGTACACATGACAACACTTCCCTATTTCCTCTCGCAGCACGTCATCTATCGCTCTTTGAAATATGCTTGGTCCATTTTTCAGGCCAAACGGCAATCTTCGAAACTCATACTTGCCGTTATTGACTGAAAATGCAGTATTTTCCCTGTCAGATTCTTCTAACAATATTTGGTGAAATCCTGCTTTCAAGTCAACTGTAGTATAATATTTGGCTTGCCCCAAGTTAGATAAGATCATCGAAATGTCAGGTATTGGGTAACGATCGGCCACCGTTTTTTCATTCAACTTTCGATAATCAAAAACTAATCTGTATTTCAGAGCCTCATCCTTCTTTTCACTCTTCTTTGAAACCACCAATACTGGAGCATTATAGGGAGATCGCGACGGCTGAATTATACCGTCTCTCAATAATTTTTTAATTTCTTCATTGACAAATGGTACAGCGGCCATATTATATGGCCGTGGCTTTGAGTATACCGGCCCTTTATCAAGAGTCCGTATAGTAGCTTTAATGTTTGTGTTAAAGGTAAGTTTCTGATCGGGCTGTGCAAATACTTGCATTACTTCTCTAATCATATCCTCAAACTTACTCTTGATTCTTGTAGGGACGCATTCTAGATTTATATCGATATTATTCACCTGTTCACACTCATAAAGTTCTATCGGTTCAGTACCTTCTTTAAATATTAGAAGAGACTGTCTTGTATCGATAGTTGATTCTATTTGCGTGAGAAAGTCATACCCTATAATAGCATCAAAAGTTTTTAATGCTGGGAGTATGAAAAAATCAGAAATCTTACCAAATAATTGTATTTTACATTTTTCTGTGATTTTGTTAAATCCATTTACAGTTCTAGCTAAGAACGCGTTATCTGTTTTTTTTAAATTTTTTAAGTCGGAAAGTTTTTTTATGTAATTTTTTGCAGTGCCAGTATCAAGAAGTTTATTTAACGTTTCACCGTTGTTTAGTTTCTTCCTGACAATGCAATGGCAATGCCGAATTTACCCTAAAAAATTAATCTCATCAGCATATTCAGGATTGTCGGATGGATCTTCGTGTTGTTGCTGCACCACATTTATGCGTTGTACTTTTGCGGGTGACTGCCTGTCTGATTCCCGCTGCCTCTTTGTTGTGTAACTAGGAGACTTCGCTAATTGTGTCCTGTTGGACGGGACCTGTGTTTGTGGTGCAGAATTGAAGCGGTATTTAGAAGAAGTTGAATCTATGTCCATAGGAGTTGGTTTGTTATGTTCACCACTATTTGGAACATACTTTTCACGCATATCTTTTCTATATTGCGGATTTGTGCGCATTTGAACCGTTCTAGCTTTTTCCTGTTCTGCATCAAAAACTCTAGCGAATTCATACCTTTTCTGATTCGCCTCCAACTCCTGTGCCTTAGCTAAAGCTGAAGGCAAGTCCTCGCAACCTATCGAAAACAGAATATCACACCACGGTTTTCTTAAACCAGAAATAAATACGCGCAATGCATCCTTGCGGTATTTTTCGGCTAAGGCGTTTACTAGCGGGTCATTTCCCGAAAACTCCATGGTGACTGTGCTTATTATCAGCGAAGGACTCTTTTCCAGTTCATCATAAAACTCAGAAATAGTCTTGCGCCCCTGCCGCTAAACACTCATTTGGTTTTCTAATATATGCAGTGGTCTTTTGTCAGCGTAGGTATGGTCTAGACGTGCAATAATTGCATCAAAGTTTAATACTGTATTAAATGATGCAAGCACCAAATTCGCTGACCCTACTATTTTATTCCGCATGATAGGTATCGCCTGAAATGGCCTTCGTATCGCCTAAATAAGCTTATTGCCGTGTGAGCGGCTTGACGCCATGAAACATATTTAGCCTGTTCACCAGAAAATTCAGGCAGCGATTTGATAATGTCCAATGATATTGGACACACTGCGTCTGGGTTATTCACCTCAATAGGTTGGTAGGCAACGATTTTGGGGGCCTTTAGTTGCAATGTATTTACTAGTCCCGTCAACTCGTCTACTTTTTCCCTTAACGCACTATTTGCCTGTTCATGCGATTGCATCATTGATGCCATCCTACTCATTACGGCCGTGCATGCCGTTTCTACAGCCATTTGTACTGTTGCTGCGATTTGTTCAGTCATTTTGTTAACAACTGTTTTTTTCACTTTTCACTACACCACTAGGATACCTTAAATCCAAAAAAAAAAGTTGATATAACTCACTTAACTTATACAATCTTAATTGTAGAACCAGTGTTTTACTTGTTCACAATGTTTTCTTAAATATAATGCACTGACTTACACTAAAATGAAATACATTGAATAAATTACTGCACTCTGCCGCTTGCTTCCAAAATTATCCCGGGGGTATTTCTTGAATCACCGGCTGCTGCTTATACCCTTTTCTCTATAAGGATTTTATGTCCTGTGGGTATTTGTTTGTTTTACTGCTGATCCGTTTTCTCTATGCGAATATATGCGGATTTCCCCTGTGGGCGCCAGATATTTTTGGTTGTCAAATCAAGACTGGCTTTATTTGAATATTCATATTCTAATCTACCTATGCTACCTCTTAATTCTATTTCTTATTTTCTAATTTCTTAAAGCTAAATTGTTGACGCTGCATTTGTATTCACATTTAGTCACGTACATGCATTCGTTCCCACGTTTGTACATTTGCTGCTGCTGCTATTGTTGCTGGTGTCAAGTGGCACATTCCACTACATATGTTAACTTACACAAATTTTTACTCAGTGAGTTATTATCTTTTACGCATTTTTTAGACATCATTTCGCTCATATGCAACAATACCGGCATACCGCACATCCAATTCGATTCTAGCAATGAGGAGATTTCCAAGGGAAAATTTAATCATCAGATGACGTTGAATGTGTACCCGACGCAACTAATGCTCTCTAAAGCCTACGCAGATATCGTACAAACGTTCGGTTGGAGAAAATTTACAATTGTGTACGACGGAGATGATAGTAAGATATTAATTGAAAATAGGACTGCGAGTAGCATACTTAGTTTAAATTTTTTACAGGACGAGCTCCAGCACGACTCCAAGATCTATTGCAACTTCGCGATATTCACAACGATGTACTGCGTGTTCGAATATTCAAACGCGGAGATGATCATCGAGTCATGTGGAAAAGTATTAAAGGTGAACGACGTATTTTATTGGACTGTCAGCCTGATTTGTTAACTACTTTGTTAAATTCTTCTATTGAATTCGGACTGACCGGACAATTCAACGTGAGTTTATATATATTCGCACTGTAGATCGTTAGAAAATAAATAGTTGTTAAGCTCTACACAGAATTGCAGCGGACGACGGTAAAGCGGTCGACGTTTAACCGCTGTCAAAATTAAAACTCACAAAGGTATATGGAATGGCTCATAATTGCGGCGGCAGCATTTTTACCGTCGACGTTATTCGGTTGATTTCAATTTATTTCTACTTTTACCGCCCAGTGGGGATGTTGATTGAGTGTTGATTGTAGTAACTTTTTGATTTTTTTCACAAGTTGGCTAATGTTTTCTTACATTTTTATTTCCAGAAAATCTACAAACACGCACGTACCGAAAATATATTTAATTTTACTGATAATTTTCAAATCGAAATGACAACTGACGGAAGCCATCGTGCGCCGCAATTGTGTTTACTCTGACGGATTTCACTGCGGGAACTGTTCAGCTGTTCACTTACCGCCACGCGCTTTAACGTCGTCCGCTGTAATTGTGGGTAGAGCTTTACTCTTCCCCAATCGAATCAAAATTTTTTAATTTTTACGCAGATGTTTTCAAAAAAAGTTTGAGTTCCCAAGAAAAACTCTATTTTCAACGCCAAAAGACTGTAACCTTTAAAACAGAAGAATTTTTTAAAAATCTAAGTATTTTACTATACTAGCGGACCCGGCGATCTACGTTCCGCCCAAAATTAATTTTTTTATTGAAACGTTTTGGTCATCGTACAGTTTCCTAAGTAAAAACACCATCAGCTGATTGCCGAAAAACGCCTACAGCTGAGATCACCTGTTTTTTGGCATTTGCTCTTATATTTTACAATTTCTTTCATTTCTATTGCAATTTCTTCCATTTCTATTACAACTTATTCAAAATAAACTAATACATTGAACCAAAACCACCAATATACTAACCAAAAACACACCTACAGCCTGCCAGAAAAACGGTAAGCAGAAGAGTTACTTGACTTGTGGAACTGTACGATGGTGTTGGTTCAACATTTTCACCAACAATTCAAGTTCGCTATTTCCAGTGGCACATTTCCACTCAGCAGCAAAACTGTGCGTACGATAATCCATTTCAAGCGTTGTTAACATAAATTACTATGTATCCAGCGTTGTTAACTTAAACTATTATGTACCTAATTCATTACATTCTTGAGAATTTCTGTTGCTGCAGTGCACACTGGTTCGGATCGCAAATCTAGCTGGACGAAACTATTTAAACAAATACTCGTTGATGGATCTTTACACCACTTCTTATCTAGGGGATTTTTGGGTCGCTGATTACGAATCTGAAGTCACTTATCCAAAATTCAAAACTGCGGATCCAATATGGCGGACGAAAATTAAAAAAAATCGGTAGATTTCTATGAAACTGGGTTACCGGGGGTTTTCTGGGTCGCTGATTACATATATAAAGTCATTTACCAAAAATTCAAAATGGCGGATCCAATATGGCGGAAATTAAAAAAAAAAATCGGTAGATTTCTATGTAACTGGGTATCTGGCGGTTTTCTGGGTTGCTGATTACGAATCTAAAGTCATTTACTTAATTATTCATAATACATAAATACTGTCATCAGTGATATTAATGTTACCTTATATAACGACAAGTAATAAGTCCCAGATGGTTTCTAAAATCACAAATTAGTTTTTGTGCAAATTGCAGATAGAGGGTATTAATGAATTCAAGCCCTCGATATTTCACATTTTTATATTTGTAAGTTATTGGAAGCAGGGATGCCAACTTGGCTCAAACCGTGCCATTTGTTCCTATTTTACTTCAAATGGCACTTAATTTTTCAATTTGGCACAAAATGCCAAAATGGCACTTTTGTAAAAAAAATAACATTTCAATACATTTTTGTGAAATCCTTTGCGTGCACTTCTTTTTCTCAACTAAAATTTTCTAATTTATAAAGGCTTTTCAACTGGTTTATCTTATTTTATCATTGCACTTTTGTTTTGAAAATGTGGCTTTATTTTATTGCTAAATGTGAATGATTAAAAGGAATTACACCTTTTTTTATCACTTTTATTTTTCTATTTGGCACATTTTGGCACTTTTTTATCCTCAATATGGCACCTCATAACTAAGGAGAGTTGGCAGCCCTGATTGGAAGATTTCTGCTGTGTTTTGAGGCAACAACTTGTCTGCAGTAAAAAAGCATATAATTTGTGTTTCAAAAGTGTGTGAAAACCAATCAATTAACTTATATGATCTCGGTTCCGATATTAAATAATCAATAATTGTTTATACCCGCATTTTGGCACATTGGCTCGTTGAATGTGCCATCTAATAAATAGTGTCGTCGTTCTCCTTAGCTGCTTTTAAATGACTGCTGGCGGAGACATAAATACAGTGTAAGAAAATTCTTTTTCTGTAATTGTTTCCTTATAGAAAGGTTGGGTTCTTTTCCACCTTAGACATTCCGAATTCGTTCAAAATATGCTAATTTAAAACACAGAATTCTTTCAGTGCTGCTCCGGGGTTTTTGGACATGTACTGTTTCTTCAATTTAATAGTGTTCGCTTTATTTTTGTAGAAACGAAAAATGTTTTGCAAGTTATGGATCATTTCTCCACTCTTTCTTCAAATATTTCTCGTATTCCAGCTGTGCGCAGGCGTTTAGTTTTTCGCATCGTGTTTTTACATATTCGTAATTTAAATTTTTTTTAATATACTCAATTGGTGGTAGTTCATGATTGTGTGTGGATTAATATCACAACACTGAGGATTTGGCAAAAGCCTTTTTCATCTATTAAAAAACAACACTTACGGGGCAATGTTTATTGTAAGAACAACATTTTTTTCTTTGAATCGACATACTTTAAGCATTGTTGACGCTATTTCCATTTGAATGAGGAAATAGCGTCAATGACTTTACTTCCAAATTTTTGTTGACTTTATTTCGCTTTTGAAAAGGTAATAATGTCAATTGACCTTATTTCCATTGACCTTATTACCTGTCACCAAAAATTTACAACAGCGCTTAAAGATTTGCATGCCTGTTGTATAATTTTTTAATTTCAGAAAGCAGAAAATTAGCGAGTTACTATTTTTTTTAACTCTTACATAACCAAAGTTTTTATAACTCCCAAGTATTTTTCTGTTTTAACACACAAACCCTCCCCTACCCCCCTCTTCACCGTGGATCCGCCACTGATCTTATATTTATATTCAGATACATTCCTGTTAATAATTACTTTTGAATTTTGAGATTTGACATACTGTCACTAAAATGTAAATATCTAAGCCAATTGGTTAGACTTGGTTATCGAACTTACCCTCTGCATTTGCGAAGGTGTAAATAATAATATGCAAGTGGTTTTATAACGGCCTTCGGCGGCCTTTACTTTTCCTATTCTTTAATTTATCTTTTTAATTAATCAAAACGACGATTTTTCAGAATAAATTTGCTTATACCAATGTGGACATAAATTGCGTTTTGACCTCTGAATCTATAGCGGAATAAGTGTAAGTTTTTGTTTATAAAGATAATTTGCAATTATGCAAATATCTGTGAGTGCAATTAGCAATATTTTAAGTTAAATTTCAGCTTTTAAAATTGTGTTCTCAAATAGGCGGCGTTGACTTACCTTTTTTTGTTTGTTTTCATATGTTAATGCTTTTATAAATGCAATTTCTATTTGAATGTATTGTCATAAATGCAATTTCTATTTGAATGTATTCCAAGCACCATTAAGTATTTTAAAAACAAAAAAATTTTGACTTTCGTCCAGCTAGATCTGCTATCCGAACCACTGTACAGTGGTATGCTGGCGAATCCTACGTTCCAATAAATTCCATACATGGTCGAAAGGATTTTAGTCAGATGACGTGGACGAGTTTGGAGCTATTTAGAGTCGTTATATAATAACCAAAGCTTCGTAACTTGTGCATTGTGATTGATGTCGTTGTATTGTTCAAACAAATAATCGGACCCCCATCCTAATTTGTCGACTGTTGGCTTAATATTATCTTTCCAAATGCTCAAATACATTTTGTGGTCCACAGCTGTCGGTATAAGTTCTAAGTTTCCTATTCCTTTTGCGCACATGCAACCCCAAACCATTAGGGGTATTCTCGAGGTCTTGCACAATGCAAGGATTGGACGAAATGTAAAAATACTATTCCAAATTTGGAAGAGTGCGAGAGCACCCCATTGGAAAGTGGTAGCATGCATAGGTAGCAAGCAGCGAAATTCTGTATCAAATACAATAACAAGATACAGCAAAAAAATGAAGTGAGCGAGATGAGAAGAATGAGAGAAATATGTAGTAATTCCAACAACTAAACAACTAGGACAGGGTCGCATTTATTTTGTTATGTTTTTTTGCTAAATATATACATGGGTTTCGACGTTTCATATTTTGCAGCGATAGGAAATGGTGTCCCATATATTTCGTTGTTGTGTGTTTGCAATCCGTGCTACGTGCAACGGCTTTGCAAGATTCTCAGAATACCCCTATTACTCCGCTCCGCCACAAAATATGTAAATAAGCCCAAGGTGTTCCTGAATAAATCCACTTTCACGGAAAATTATGCATTTTTGACATTAAAGGAAGGGAACTTGTGTGGAGAAGACCAGGAACCGCCCTCGATGTCCAAATCTTTAAACCTACTATGAAACATGGTGGAGGCGGAATACCGGGTTGGGCTTGCATGTGTGCACAAAGAGTGGGAAACTTAAATGTATACCGACAGCTATGGAGCTCAAAATGTACTTGGGCATTTTGAAATATAATTGGAAGCCAAGAGTCGATATTTGCTTGAACAAGACATTGAACATGGGTGTGAAACACCCGATCCGTTTTGAAATACGTACTGTTTGACCATTTGGTGCCATGATGTCCCGATCTAGTATTAGTCGCCGTCACGAGTGGACGTGTTATCTTTGTGCTGTGGGGTGCGCGCTTAGTAAACACAAACAATTAACTTTGCAAACAAAGCTATATACAAACAAAATAAAATCAAAGTTTTAATTCGTTTCTCATTACTTAACTCAAATTAAATTAAAAGAATGAATTGTTCTATATGTAAAGGATAGGTTGATCGTGCGGATTTAACCAAAGTTGTATGCGTTGAATGCAATTTCTTTTTCCACGGAACTTGTGTACAAATTACATCAGCTGAAATTAGTTATATGAAAGCGAACAATGTTAAATATCGCTGCAACCAGTGTACATCTGTTCGTCGAAATTTTCTCCATCGAGATACTTTCTCAGCAACTCAACATTCGCAGCAATCAACAATTCCATCAACATCGCAGTGTAAGCCAAAGGCAAAACAATCAAACTTAACCGGTTTGCAAATATCTGCAGAGTCACACCAACATCAAAATAAATTAACAAATACCACGAACAATAAAACAAATAATAGCAATGACAATGCTGGTACGGTAAACGGAAAGTCTGTGAGGAACGAAGAGAATGAAGTGAATGAAGAAAATGTAACTCTTCATCTATTATACAAAGAGATAATGTGCTTAAAGGCAATCAATATTGATTTTCTGGAGACTATCAACAGTTTAAAAGATGAGAACAAAGCTTTAAAAGAGAAAATTGCTAAGCTGGAACGCCAGGTGAACTCAGCGCGCAGAAACAGCTGGAGAATGAAATAGAGATAGTTGGTGTACCTAATGTTAAAGCGGATAACATCAACGAGTGTATTGAGAATATTTTTACGAATGCACTAGGCTTATCTGTATCAGCTGAGCAAATTGAGAGACGCTATATAAAAAAATTAAAACCTATCAATGCCTCCTCAGCCCCGCGCACCAATATATGTGTACGTTTCTCTTCACGTGATGTCAAAGGAAAAATAATGCGCGCGAAATCGATCGCTAAGCAAAAACTNATCTTCACGTGATATCAAAGGAAAAATAATGCGCGCGAAATCGATCGCTAAGCAAAAACTCACGTCTGGGATTTTTTCTGCCGGTAACAGTAGACAGAAAATATATATTAATGATAACCTTACCTACTATAACAGAGCTCTGTACGCTGCTGCAAATAAGTTTAAAAAAGAGAAACATTATAAATATCTATGGGTTAGGAACTCCAAAATAATGTTAAGAAAGGCTGACAAAAGTGATGTTGTTGT